CGCCAAGCTCTTGAAGCATTGGAAGACGCGTCTTCTGACCATGTGTTCCCGATCCAACATCGTTAAGGAACTTCGCTCTGCACCTGGTACTTGCTCTTGGGCCAGGTACGGATGTTGCGCTGCAAAGCCATTGACGAATGCTAGAGCGTGCGTCAAGCACGTCACCAGCTTGCGTGATGAATCGTTGGTCAGCAAAGCTGCCGCATTGTGATCCAAAAACGAGTACATGGCTCCAAGTGCGCACTCTCTGACGTGCAACAAGAATGCCCACTCCGCATCGGATCGTGAGGAGGGCCCGGCTGCAGTGTCCCTGGGGGAAGGTTTGGGAAGCGCGTTCCGCCAGAGGTTCAAAAGTTGTGGCAGGTGTAGCCTCACGAAGCCTTTGCCAAGGGACATGAGAGCGCCTAGAAGAACCCAAGCGACTTGTATCTCCGTTGCAGAGACAGGAAGCGGGTGGTCTGCACTCTTCCTGAGGAGGTCTGTCGCCAAGTCGAAGACTCTGGTGCTGATTTCGAACGAAGTGTATAGCGGACGCGACGGAATGACATTGATGAGGGCTGCGATTCCTCGAGCATGCCCGCTAGTCCGCAGCGAAAGCTCATGACCCGGTCTTTCGCCCGCCGCGTCCAACGCCTTTAAATCCTTTCGAAGAAGCGCGATCGACGCTTCTACGGTACTGGCCAATAGTGTCGGATTGACGGAGCAAAGCGTGCGCAAGCACCAAGCTGCACTGACCTGCACCGAGTTGCTAGGATGAGACAAGCAACGCAGCAAAGGATCAAAGAGAGCATCGTGCACCTGAGCAGGACAGCTCCCCAACTGCAAAAGGAGCCCAGACACCTCGTTCAAGGCGAGCACTAGAGTGTACTTCGTTGGCGGAACGTTGCCAGGCATCAAGACTGGCCAGCGTTTCAGATACGACCCGCAGATCTCTTGTATAGCCGCTACCTGCGCTGGTTCACCCAGCATGCGGTCACCGATGACACGTCGCAAGATGAGAGATACGCCTGTGCGTATCCAAAGCACATCTGCACGATTGAGTGGCGTAGCACGAGGCGTGTTGGGAAGCTCCTCGATGAGATGTCTCAGTACCAAAGGGTAGTTGTTGAGAACCCAATCCGCGCCAAGCGTTGCAAAGAGCGCCGCGTAAACATCGAGGATGCCAGCCTTGCCTTTTCTCGAGGTGTTGGCATTGACAAAAGGTCTGGCGAGCTCATCCAGCATTTCGCTAGCTTTCAGCAATGTCCGAGAGGCGCCTGCGTCAACAGAGATTGGGGGAGCGTCTTCGTCCGAGTCATCGTCCCCGCCTGCTGCGTCTCCCTTTCTCTTTTTCTTGTCCTTCTTCTTAGGCTCGGGCGGAGGTGCAGAGTTCTCCTTTTGAGTCGATGCAAGCAACGTCGCACAGAGGCGGGAGAGACTGCGCTTGGTGACAAAATCGGGACTATCAAGAGCCTTCAATGCGACATTGAGCACCAGACTGATCTCGGATCGTGAGGCCAAGAAGTCGGTCTTTTGTGAGATGACAAGCAAACACTGGATTCAGGTGGTATAGTATGATGTCTTAGCCGAACTCTATATGGCAGCGCGTTAGGGCCTCGTGCGCGCACGACTCACTTCTGCGCAACCCTGCACTACAGCGCCCGACCTATCCGATAGCCAGCCACGCAAATTTTTGACCATCTCCTTGCCCGGCTGGTCGTTCAAGCTTTTGGCGCCTGGGCCTAGTGCTCTTGCCAAACACATGAGGGCGTGGTACCGTATCAAGACTGGATTGCTGGTATTGCGAAACAGCTTTTGGGCGAGCAGCGACAGATCCAAAAACAAGCTCATCACATCCTGTCCCAGCGCCGCAAATATCTCTCCAGAGATGTACAACGCGGCAGCTTTGGTCTCCTTTTCTGGCGTTTGACCTTTCGTCTCGTCCCCGGCTGTGCGCAGCAGAGCTTGAAGCACGTCAAACAGAGATCGTCCCTCGCTACGCCCCAATAGAAGCACCAGACATCTGGCCAGCAAGTGTCGCACTGGTCTGCCAGGCTTTGGGAAATTTGAGGTTGGCCGCAGAGTAGGGGTACTAGGAGGCGTGGACGTATCGTTGGATGGTGGAGGCGAGGTTGGCAGAAATCTCAGAAACGCTGTCTCGAGTTTGATTCTAATCGGCTGCAGAGATGTCTAAGGGGCGTGGTTGGTGCTGATAGCAGACTCAGCACGGACGCCAAAATACGGCAGGTGACTTCTTTCAACAATACGCACCGCGTCGATGACCTTTAGCGCAGCTTCGGCTCTGGCCA